ACAGTATCTTAAAAAAATTACTTTGATTTTTAATTGTGGATAAATTTTGAGTGCAGTATTGCAGGCCACTTTAACTGACTGTGTTCAGCAGGTCAGTGGTTCAAATTTCACCAGCTCAAGGTTGACTCAGCCTTCCATCCTTCCGGGGTAGGTAAATGAGGACCCAGATTGTTGGGGGCAATGTAAATATATATACATTGCTTACTGGTGTACACCGCTTAGAGAGCGCTTGCACTTAAAGCGTATATAAGTCTCATAAATAAATAAAATAAATAAAATAAAAAAATCCAGTTAGCTTTTAAAAAATCTCTTAAAGAACATTTTTGGCCCTGCTGGTGGGACCCCAATGAATTAAAGCAATCTGCCATGATCCCTTTTTTTCTGACCACAAATAGCCAGCTTGCTGTTTCTGCCTATTTGAAGAATTTTATTTTAGAGAGTATCACTGCAGCCTTCTGTTTCTTTATCTATAATAAAGAAAATTCTAGTGATTGGAATGCTTTGCAACACCAAATACCTGCTTACTTAGATTTAAAAAAAAAACATTTGCATATTGTTGTATTTATTAAATACTTCCTTTGTACAAAAGCACATCTCAAAGATTTGCAATAAATGTAAATCAAGTACAATAATAAAACCAATATTTTTAAATATTTGTTTAAAAAAATCAGTGGGAAAAAGGGAAACAAAAGCAAAGCTTATCCAACATTTATACAAGGGAAGATTGCTTGGAAAGATAATCTTCAACAAACACCTAAAAGATATAATAGTAGGTGCTTCACATATTTCAGGGCAGAGGATATGCTGGAATAAAGGTAAAACTGCAGAGTCTTGGTGACAACAGGGTACATCAGTATAGAAGATGCTGGAGAGGTAGTGGTGGGCAAGAGAGAGAATAGAAGTTAGTGAATGGGGGAGAATCAACAACAGTATGGATAGTCTTACCAAAGAACAGTGGTAGAGGTGGGAATGAAGATAATCAGGGGAAAGAGGAAATGGACAATGAGCAAAAGAATTCGGGTAGTATATCAGCAGTACTCATTTGACAAGTATCAAATTCACCCAGTATCAAATTCCTGGGTGTGCAGCTAACGAGTAGGCTGGCTTGGTCTCTCAACAGTGAGACACTGGTGAAGCGGGCACAGCAGTGCCTGCATTTTCTGGGTCACATGAGAAAAGCACATCTTCCTTCTCCTATCCTTACCACTTTCTACAGGGGACGATCGAGAGCATCCTGTCATACAGCATCACAGTCTGGTTTGGAAGCATCACTGCTTCAGACAGGAAGGCGGTGCAGAGAATGGTGAGGATGGCCAAAAAGATCATTGTCAGTTCCCTCCCTCCCATCCAGGACACAGCACAGAAGTGTTGCTTGAGCAGGGTCTGTAAGTTTATCTGGGACACTACACACATCCTCTTCACGACCTGTTTTCCTTGTTACCTTCTGGGAGGAGGCTTTGTGGTATCTGAAGCAGAACATCCAGATTCAGCCATAGTTTCATTCCATACAGCATTAACCTTGAGAACTCTCAAGCTTCCTCCTTCCGTTACATATTCAAGATGGACAGTGTTTAATATTTATTTGTTATGTATATGTAGGGGTGTGGGTCTATACATATGTTGTATATATAGTAAGTTTAGTGTGTGTCATGTATGTGTTCACTTTGAGAGCAGGCAACTAAATTTTATTTTTGATGTGTGCCATTGCATCCACAGTAAAAAATGACAATAAAGTTTATCTTACCTTATCTACAATAAGTAGCATGCACCCCATCAAGTTAGCAGAATTAGTGTGGTCAAGCTAACAGAGCCAACCTAGCAACATAGGTGGTAACACCAGAGACAGCCATACAAGCCAATCAGTGAAAAGGGTAGAACCAGTCCAGCAGCAGAAACTCCTCAGCAATGGATACAGATGCAGCAATGCTTAGCAAAAGCCAGAAAAACCCAGCATGCTAGGCTAGTGGTACCAAAAGGCAACAGAAGCAGTCAAAGAAATATTGGTGGAAAGGGCCTGGGACCGGGAGGGAATAGATTCCTTCCCATTCTTAAAGATTGGGATGGGTCAGTAAGGAACTGAGAAAAGATGTAGAAAAAGAGAGGGGGAAAGAAGTAAAAGTCCTTATTTTTTCTTCTAATTAAAAATGCAGTTCATTGTTTATAAATTTCAGGTATGCTTGATAAACATACAGTAGCTTATACTGTATATAGCATTTTAGACAGAGGTTTAAAAGAAAGTAAATAACATTATTTTGTACTTAAGTGATGAAAAAGCACCCATTCTCAGAGTCAAAACCATAAAGAACCCCCAAACTGTAATTCCACCCCATTATTTAGATTATTCCTCTCAGAGCCTGAGACATTTAATTATATGTCATTGAGTTATATGTTAACTCAACAAGTTATATGTTAACTCAGTGACAATTTGGAAGATATCCCTGGCTTTCAGGGAGACTGTGAAATCCTGAGGTAATTGTTCAGGCAGCTCCAACTCTACAGTCTTAGAGTTTTCCCACAACAAATTAGAAATTATCTCAGCTAACTGGTCAAGGTGACTAGCATGAAAATTTGGGTAGAGAACCAGCCATAACTGTCTCTTTCAGTGACAGTTAAGGCCTTCGTAGCCTGAGTCCAGTAACTTTGGAAAAACAACACATTGAGGCTAGGCAAATCTTCCTAGGACTGTAGGACATAGGACAGATTTAGACACGGGACAGAAAAGCTTTGCTTAATCTTCCATTTCAGTCAGTAGGAATAAAGATATGCCCAAAGAAATACTGAATTACACTAAAAATTCAATTCAAAAAACTGTTGATTAAAGTTTATCAACTAGCTAGAGATGATAAAATAGTTTCTACTAGCCTGTCACTCTGGAGATGTTAGGGTCACAACATCCCCTTGTTTCCAGGTTAGCACAATCAACAGCCCTGCTGGCTGGGAGGTTGCAAAAATGAGGAAAGTTGAATATCTTCTGCAAAATGTTAATTTTTGAGGTTTCAAAAATTAAGTCTTATTGAACAAAATGTATTAATGAAGCTAGGGCTATTAAATACAGGTAGTCTTTGACTTACAACAATTCATTTGGTGACCATTCAAAGTACAATGACAAAATTCAGATGCTTGGCAACTGACTCATATTGTTGACAGTTGCAGTGTCCCGGGGGATCATGTGATCCCCTTTTGTGACTTTCTGACAAGCAAAGTCAATGGGGAAGTCAGATTCACTTAACAACCTGTGTTACTAACTGAATAACTGCATTGATTAACTTAGCAACTGTGGCAAGAAAAGTCGTAAAATGGGGCAAAATTCATTTAAAAACTGTCTCACTTAGCAACAGAAATTTTGGGTTCAGTTGTGGTTGTATATTGAGACTATCAGAGTCAACGTGAAATTTTGGCATGCAAGTTTTAACTTGATTGGAAGTAATTTTTTTATACCTACAAATTAGCAATTATTGCTAATTTTGATTTGGAATTTTAGTTGGGTATAATGAAGGAATATTTGGTGTAAACTGTTGGTGTAAATTCTGATGTGGTTGTTTTTGTTTGTCACTCTAGACAATATCATTTTGAAATATTGCATTTATTACGGGAATGATTACTTAAGAAAATAAATAAAATGTAATTATGATAAGGAGGTCTCTAAGATGGTGTGAAATGAGCGCACACAAAACAAGAAAGTTATTGAAAGCCAAACAAAACTGATTTTATGAGGTTTGTTGAAAGGAACTAAATGCAAAAAGAAAAAAAAAAAAAAAGAAAGACACACCTCCCGAATTTGTTGGGGGTACTTAAAATGGATAATCCTGGCCTATTCTCTGCCTTTGCAGATGTTTCCTTGTTACAGTTCCAAAACCATATGGATTCAACATTTCAGATAGGTCTAAGCATTTGCTTATGTTATATTTATATATGACCTAATTGAATTTTATTTTGAAAGTTCAGACATAAAAACATACTTGAATAAAAACACACTTGAATAAAAGACATCTGGTTTGTGGAATTTACTATTAAACTTAGAATTTAACAGTAGTGTCAAGGTCATAACTTCACTAATGAACTTTCTAATGTCCTGCATGTTGTTTTTGGCTTTTACATTGTCAGTGTTTTATTTATGGTAAAGAGATCTATGTGTATCTTTCAAGTGTTTGTAGCAAGAAAGAGAAACTAATTTTAATTGTCATGCAAAAGTGCTGAGAATATTGATTATAAATATTATCATGCTACTGAGATTTAAGATTGTCAAATGTGAAAAAATATGCTGTTTTGTTTATTGAACATTACAAACAATTTGTCAAATATCAAAAAGTGATACATTGGGGAAGCCTGCTCAGCTACTCAGGTGACAATGTTTTTTACAGGTGTAATAGGACTGTATCTATTTACCTTTTTAACTGATAATCCTGTAAAGTGGTGTAAATGTAAAACACTTCATTGATTATGCTTCTGACTGTATCTTCGTATGATAAAATACAAACAAAAAAGGAAATACAATTAAAAACATAGCAAGTAGCAAGCAAGTAGTCTTCAGCATTCATCTAAACAGAATGATGACAAATACATCAAGTGAAAAAATAAACCTGCCTAATTCCTTAATTTTCAAATTTTGGGAAGGCAAAGTTTAAATTGTTCCACTTACTACTTGATCATCTATTTTACTTGCAAAAGCAAGTAAATGCAGTATACAAATATTTTATCTGGGCGATATACAGATAGACATAAGAATATACATACACCTATAAACTACACAACACACACATACATAGTATGTATGTATGTATGTTTTTATTGCAAAATTACATTCAAAACAGCATGATCTGAAAATTTCTTGAGATACATTTTTAAGAGTGTTACTTATCCACTCATACTACATTTAATTGCACAGCAGAATATTTCCTTCTAAGTCCTCCTATGCATGTTTTCTAATTGAGCCTTTTTTGGACTGCACTGTGTCAAAATAATGTTGAATTTTTTTTTTCTTTGTTTTGTACAATGCTCAGAGAAACCATCTGGACACACCGAGTCTTGTTTCTAGAGGAGAGAATTCTTAGTAATTGGACATCCTTCACCATTTGGAATGCTGGCAAACAGGGCAGAAAACTTTTTAGAAGTTTATCTCCAGCTAATCAGAACAAAGTAAGTTTAAACAAATATTTTATAAGTGGGCATCACTTCAATAAACACTCGTTCTTGCTGACCTATTTTCAGAACCATTTTCAATCTATTTAGTATGATCATTCATTTTTATTTCAAAATGTTCCATTTTGCCCATATATGATATATATTACAATACAAATACACATACAAAAAAGAATTTCAGAGTTTTGAATACAAAATTTATTCTGATAATAAATTAGATTACTTAATATGCTGGCTGGTTATTACTAACCAAATATTGTCCAGAAAATAGTTTAAAAGGAACATCTGTAGAGCATGGGAAAACTGTAATGCTGTAACACTATACATTATTTGTCATTTGTTTCACTTATTGCTTCATCTGCTTTGAGAAAAACAGTGACTTATGAATTGAGAAAAAGGGCTGTTACTAGATTTTATTTATTCCATACTTTATTGTGTTAGCTCTATGCTATAGAAGTTAACTTATAAATAATAGCCCTTGAAAGCTACTGATATGTCCCAAGGCGGTGTATGGAAGGGAATGTGTTAAGAAATAGATATATAGAGAGAGATTTCTATTCTACCTTAATATATATCAAAGGTGGTTCAAAATAGCTACCGTTCAGATGATGAGATATAATGTTTTTGCAAAGGAAAGATCATTGTCTCCTTTTTTTTTAGAAGATAAAAACTGTAGTTTGATTAGCATTTTGTCTTACACTCCATAAGTGTTGCATACAAATGCAGATTTAGGAATCTTGTTGAATAGTTTAAGACCACCTTCTTTAACTGTAAATACAATAGTAAACAGATTATTGTCCATAAAAGAAGCTTGACTGCCGGACATATGCAGATGATTATTTCTTTTACAGCTGACAGACTTTCCCACTCCAAAATGATGAGTCATCTTAATCACTGGAGTGCAACTTACAAAATTGTTTGTTGCTATGGAAATGTCATCGTTTTCTTCAATTGTTGGGCAATATGCTTTGTAAAATCCCCTGAATGCTTTCGTTTATCATGTGATGAAATTGTTTCACAGTGGTGGGCCATAGGGTAGGGTTTCAGACTTCAGTCAAGGAAAAGAGACTTCAGAAATGAAAAACAGCAATCAGTCTCTGAGGTTTCCTTTGCAGTTCATTATTTCCCTGATCAGTTGAATGTGGCCATCAGTATGAATCAAAGCAGTTTTCTTAACCTGATTTTCAGCAGATATAATGATTCCTGATCAGTTGTTGTGTATTTTATAACAATACGGACAGTTTTATAACTATCTGGTTTGGTACAACAACCGAACAGTACTTCAATGGATAGTTAGGACTATAGAAAAAAACAATTGCAACCTGTCTTCCATTGAGGACCTTATGTTTCATGAACCAGAAAGAGGGTTGAGAAAATATCTACAGACCCCTCACATCCTGGACATAAACTTCATAAATTGTTTGAATTTCTCCCCTCAAGACGCTGCTATAGAACATTGCATGCCAAAACAACTAGACACAAAGATAGTTTTTTCCCCCATGCTGTCACTCTGCTAAACACCTAATTCCCATAGCACTGTCTAATGTCTAAGGATATTTATCTATGTAGTAGGGCAGAACAGAACAGAAAAGAATAACAGAGTTGGAAGGGACCTTGGAGGTCTTCTATCTAGTCCAACCCCCTGCTTAGGCAGCAAATCCTATATCATTTCAGACAAATGGTTATCCAGTCTCTTCTTAAAAACTTCCAGTGTTGGAGCATTCACAACTTCTGGAGACAGGTTGTTCCACTTATTGTTTTAACTGTCAGGAAATTTCTTCTTAGTTCCAGATTGCTTCTCTCCTTGATTAGTTTCCATCTGTTGCTTCTTGTTCTGCCTTCAAGTGCTTTGGAGAATAGCTTGACTCCCTCTTCTTTGTGGTAAACCCTTAGATCAGTGGCATGCCACAGGACGGCACGCAGAGCCGTCCCTGTGGGCACGCATGTGATTTCTGGGCTCCTCCCTCTTCCCCTCTCTACACATGCGCAGTCCGGGAATAGCTGCAAGAGCTGGGCGGGGTGAGGAAACGTATAAAAGGAGCAGTTCTGGCGGGAGAGTGAGTGAAATCAGAGCCGCCATCTCCCTTCCGCAGTGCAGCCCCATCGGCTTGAGCGGAGATGGCCCCGGGACGGCCGGAAAGGAGCCCTCACCTGGTGTGGGTCCTGTCTACAGGGTGGCTCTGACGGGGGCGGTGGATGCTGCTCTGAGCCCCTTGACTGGTCAACCACACAGAGAAGCACGAGGAGGAGGCGGCGGTGATCCCTGCATCGCCAAGCCCGGCCGACCGCAGATCTGGAAGCAAAGCTGTGCCGACCATCCTCATGCTTGTGAGGGCAATGGCAGGGGAAGGTGTGCTGTGGCAGACGCCCTCCCCTCCCCATCCAGAGGCACACACGGGATAATGTGCGGCAGCTGTGGCAAAAGGTGCCCGCATGCCAGATCCTGCCTTCCCCCGCCGCCGCCAGCGCAAGGATGGTTGGCAGAGCTTCGCTTCCAGATCTGCTGCCTGACACTATCGGTCCCCACACACAGAAGCCAGCGAGCGCATGGTGGCCAATGGTGTCTGTCAGCAGCCACAGCATGCTGGTTGTCTTGGTGGACTGGCCACAGAGCCCCATCGGCGCAGGCAGAAATCGCTCTGGGTTAGCCGGCAGAAATCGCTCTGGGTTAGCCTTGTCTGGCCTGGGCGCATCCACTCGACGGATCTGACAGGGGTGGCTTTTACTGCTGCTCTGACTGGTCACCCCTGCAGGGAAGCAGAAGGGGCAGCTGGTGCACAAATCTGCTGCCTCGTCGGGCTGCTAGTGAGCAGCTGAAGTGGCTCCAGACCCCCGGCTGCCCCTCCACCTCCTCCTGCTTCCCTGCATGGCTGACCGGTCAGAGCAGCAGCAGAAGCCACCTCCATGAGATCCATTGAGTGGATGCGCCCAGGCCGGGTAAGGGCTTCCTCCCCCCCCATAAATTGGCGAAAAGTAAAACCTCTCTTATTACAGCTTAGTTCACAACCATAATAAGTTGCAATACATTGTTCCTCCTAAGCAAAGGCACGTGAGCTGGGTTTGTACCTCGACCTGGAGTTTTGGGTGGAGGGGGGGAAATAGTAAGCCCCCGGGCGCTGATGCAGCAAAAAGATTAATGGGCTGCTGCGACCCACTTCTTGTTCTGGCCGCTGCGGATGATGGAGCTGACAGCACCAGGTAGAAGAGCGGGGCCCTGAGGTAGGGGGGTGAATCTCATTCCCTGGGCTGCGAAGCGTAGAGCAATTGGGGGTGGGGTGCAGACAACACGTGGGCAAGAGAATTGAGAATGAGAAAGACGCGGGCGGAAACAGCTCTGGGACACTTGCCTCGGGGCTCCGCTCTTCTGCCTGACTGCTAGGAAAAAAATTCTCGGGAACAAAGGTTTTTTTTATTATGGTTGTGAACTAAGCCGTAATAAGAGAGGTTTTACTTCTTGCCAATTTATGAGGGGGGAAGAAGCCCTTGCCCGGCATCCACTCGACGGATCTCATGGGGGTGACTTCTGCTGCTGTTCTGACCGGTCAGCCATACAGGGAAGCAGAAGGAGGTGGAGGGGCAGCCGGGGGTCTGGAGCCGCCTCAGCTGCTCACTAGCAGCCCGAGGCGGCAGATTCGCGCACCAGCTGCCCCTTCTACTTTCCTGCAGGGCTGACCGGTCAGAGCAGCAGCAGCCATCGCCCCCGTCAGAGCCACCCTGTAGACAGGACCCGCACCAGATGAGGGCTCCTTTCCAGCTGTCCACTCATGTCGATAGGGCTGCCATGATGCAGGAGGCTGACAGACACCGGCGGCCCCCATGCGCTCACTGGCCTCTGTGTGTGTGGGGGCTGATGGTGTCAGGCAGCAGCTGCTCCAGCCCCTTGCCTTGCCCCGTGGCAATTGGCACATCTGCCCTGCCTCTCCTCTCCTCACCCCACAGGATGAGCCTCTGGTCCAACGCCCCACCCGCCAGAGACCCCCTGGATCTCCCCCAACCCTGCCCGGCCCCCACAACCATCCTTTCCCACAAACACCATCAAGGTGGCCACACCCACCATGGCCACGCCCACCCAGTTGGCTGTGACCACCGAGGCCACGCCCACCCAATCGGCCATACCCACCTGGCACGCAGCGATAAATAAATGGGTTTTAGGTTGCAGTTTTGGCACTCGGTCTCTAAAAGGTTTGCCACCATTGCCTTAGATATTGGAACACTGCTATCATGTCATCTAAGCTGACCTTTCCATAACATTTGCTTTGGCAATATTGTGGGCCAGAATATCAAGGTTGCAATTAAAGTTGTTTCTTTTTTGCCTTGCTAGGCAATTGAAAAAAGAACTGGAAATATTAATCCAGTCAGTACAGAGTGCTATTTTGTAACAATCTGAGAAAAGATGTTTGTGCCTCCCTCACGTTTCTCAGTTATGGCTGATTTCAAGAGAGTGTGTTTGATCATGATTTACTACAGGGGTCCCCAACACTCAGTCTGTAGACCGGCACCAGTCCATGGACTGGCACCAGTCCGCAGCATGCCAGCAACCGAACGATACAAACAAGCAAAGCCCCATTCGCGGGATGCAGGCAGTACGCAAAACCACACCCCCTCTGATCCATTGAAAAACCTTTCTCCACGGCACCGGTCCCTGGTGCCCAAAAGGTTGGGGACCTCTGATTTACTAGACTGATATTAAGAGAATGCTTTCCTTGTAGCTTTTTAGCTAGAATATCAACAGAGTATTAAATTATTAGAAAAATCCAGGATCTAGTAGAAATATAGAACACAGACTAATAGAGTTGGAAGGGACCTTGGAGATCTTCTAGTCCAACCCTTTGCTCAAGCTGGAGACCCTATACCATGTAGGACAAATGACTGTCCAATCTCTTCCTAAAGACCTCCAGTGATGGAGAACCACAACTTCTGGAGGCAAGTCATTCCACTGATTAATTGATCTAATTGTTCAGGAATTTCTCCTTAGTTCTAGACTGGATCTTTCCTTCATAAATTTCAATCTGTTACTTCTTACTCCTTCCCTCAGGTGCTTTGGAAAATAGGTTGACCTCCTCTTCTCTGACAGCCCCTTAAATATTGGAAGGCTGCTATCATGTCACCCGTAGTCCTTCTTTTCATTAAATTAGACATACCCAGTTCCTGCAGCCATTCATATGATTTAGCCTCAGTGTTTATTGCTCTTTGTTGCTCCTCTCTGAACTCTTTCTAGAATCTCGACATCTTTTTTGCATCACGGTGATCAAAACTGGATGCAGTATTCCAAGTGTGGTCTTATCAAAGTAGTATAAACTGTATGATATACTGTATATATGATATAGCTTTAAGCCTAAAATTTCCTCTCAAAATAGGTGCACAAAACCATTTCTCTTCCTTTAAGAAGCATAGACTAGTAAACTTATTTTTCTTTATTCCCCAAACTTTCTATTCCTTAGAATGTCTAAATATATTTTATCATTCTTGCTCTTGTTACTATCTCCCTTTCATCTGTTGAAATTGAGACTCGAATTTAGATGGGACAAGGTTTTTTTCTTTCTTTCTTTGCTTTTAGAATTCTATGGTATCCCCCTGTAGTATATGTTACTGGCAAAGGAAATTGCCTATTTTCTGTTGACTAGGGAAGAGTAAGCAACTAGATGCCTTCCAATTGATTTGATTTCATCTTGCCTTAATCCTAACTAGGATGGCCAATGGCAATGGATTATGAGTTTTGGAGAGCCAAACATCTGGAGAACAGTAAAACATGTATCCTCTGGAAGTATGGAGAAATGGTGCTTATAGCAACAGTGTTCTTGCAGCCAGAACTCATTTCTCACATATGTTTGGTTTGTTTGGAATTGTTTCCATAAACTAATAGGCCTGATCTATTAACTAACTGGCTATCATCTGGTTTCACCAGCAATAGTTACTTGCTAATTTTAGTAATTTGTTACCTGGTTTGGCAGTATCATGCATGGAAAGAATCTTGGGAGTTGTGGTTGTAAGTCACCAACTTAATATAAATCAAGTGTGATTTGGATAAAAAAGAAAAAAGAAAATTTAATTGCAGGTTCCACCAAGTAGCTTCCAAACCAAAAAAATCTTTACACTGTCCTGTTTTGTTCAAAACAAAAGGGAAATACTAAGAAAGCTTCCAAACAGCAAGATGAATCAGTTATCTTGGGAGATGAAGGATTCTCTTCACTGGATATTTTCAGGGATAGCTCTTCAGCTATCTATGAGGGATGCTTTAATTCAGATTGCTATCTTTAGTAGGATGTTGGTTTTGATGTCCTAAATGACTCCTCCCTGTAATGCTCTGAAATGTAAATCCAAGAAGTTTAGGTTTAAAGGGATTTGTTTTTGTAAAGTATAAATGAGTATTATGCATATGTATTTGCTGAACAAGCATTTTTGTATTTGCATTTGTAATTTCATAATATCTTTCACTCTCCTTCCTTCCTTCCTTCCTTCCTTCCTTCCTTCCTTCCTTCCTTCCTTCCTTCCTTCCTTCCTTCCTTCCTTCCTTCCTTCTTTCTTTCTTTCCTCTCTTCTCTTCCCTTCCTTTCCCTTCCTTTTACAAATTTCCTGCCTTCAGTTGGTCTTATTCTGATTCTCCAATAGGTATTTTGCATAAGTTTCTCCCATAGTTCTGAGTAAGTAACCAGACCCTATTGCCGGATACCTGAGAAAAAGACCTCTTTTCTCAGATTTATCCACATTTGCACGAGTTTTCCCACAGGATTCCAGAATATCTCCCACATTGCATGTGAACTTGTACGTATGTACAGAATGGAGCCAATTGAAAAGATTTGTCTGATAAAATCCATCATATATGCAAGAGGGTTATGTGCTATTGTTTTTGATACTTTGGAAAACAACAATTGTAGACTCATTGAATTACATGTTTTCTTCTCAAATGTATTAGAGTTAGGACAAGATTTAGGAATCTAATTATTTTTTTTAGAAAATTGGTAACATTTCAAGGACCACCCTATTGTAACAACAGCCATTCTGTTATGGTTACCATTCTGAATAGTTTTAAGAAACTGGGTTCCTAACTGTATCTTTTTCAAATTTAAAGGATTGACAGAGCATGGTTGTAGCATTTCTGCAAGACTGAAGCTGAACAGACCTTTTTTGTTAAAAAAAAGCATCCAATTCATTTTGAGCTTGCAGCTGTAGAAAACCAATCTTTTATGGGATGCTTAAAGGTCTGCTTTATGCTTGTCTATCCAGCTTCAGTATCATGAATGTTAGAGTTACTTTTATGACTTCATTCTGCCATTCAAGTTGCCAAAGCAATTTTAATGAGAAAAGGGAAAAAAAACTGAAAAATTCTATCCTTCAGTTGAACAAATGGTGCCACCACAATCACATGTGAAAATGTGCGACTTTGTATAGTTTTCTGTCCAGGAAATTTTATGCAAATAAAAGTTGCAATTTTATGCAGCTAAATAGATAAAAGTTTTGAGTTTAAAGAAATAATAAATATAAGCTCAAATAGCATAAAATAGATAGGAAAGCTGCTATTCTATCACCATTCACCTATATTTTACATGTTTAAATACATACACTTATGCAAACAACCTCATGTACTGTATGTGCCATATTTTATTGTACTTAATTTGAAAAGGGGAAGGAGTGATATATATAAAGATGTGGAAATTCAGGACATTGCCCTTGCAAAACAAAGCACCATCACATTCCTTAATATATTGCTGACACAATGGGGAAAAATCTAGTCTTCTTTCCTCAGTCGTAATATTATATTTCCAAATTTCAAATATCTTAGCCTTAAAAATAACATTTTTTAAAAAATGTGATTCTTTCTTGCTTTTCTATGATAAAGCAAAAGAAAGAATCTCTTCCTTTGTAGTTTGGATTCTCTTTTTTGTGTTTATTGTCCTGAGAAATTTTAGTATATGGCTGCCTGTGTGCAAGACCCACTTGAAGTACATCTTCAAAGTCAATTGCATTGAGGCAGAACAGAGAATAGTGACTTGCTGTGTTACACTTGCATCATTATAATTATTTGTCCTGTGATTTTGGATTCTTTTTGGCTTGTAGATCTCAATGATATAGGCTGCGTATGTGCAGAAATTAGTACTTTTCTTTCATTCTTTCTACTCCTTATTTCTTGCTATGTTATTCAATTCACTAACACAAGACTGGCTATAAATTTATGCTCAATGTCCCTATGCAGTGGGGACTGTCTAAAGTTCTTTATTGAAGAAATTCTCCTTTGACCTTGGAAATTTGTGCATGTAGTCAAATTCATATAACATTTCTGGTTATTGATAGATTGATAGATGATGGCCTTGTAGTTCCAGAAGAAAGTCTTCCGTGATTCAGGAGACCTGCAATCTAAAACATTTTGCTGCTGGGAAACATAATCAAGAAGGTGCTACTAAATACTGATTTAGAAGGACATGTAATGCAAAGGTCCCCAATCTTTTGGGCACCAGAGGTTTTTCTGCAGACTGGAGGGTACATGGTTTTGTGTGCTGCCTACATCCCACGGATGGGGCTTTGTTTGTTTGTGCGGACTGGTTGCTGGTATGCTGCGCCCCAGTACTGGTCCATGGACCAGGGGTTGGAGACTCCTGATGTAATGAGTGTAAGGAGACTGTACTCCTAGTATGGCAAAAATTGCAGTATTCAATGCAAAGACCCTTTATTTTTAAAGGATAAATATATGATAATTTGTATTTTCCTTATTAGTATCTCTAATTAAAAGGAATCATTTATGGGCATCTTGCACATATTTAAGACTTTGTTTTGTGAGGTATTTTAGCTAAGTCATACAAATGTAGGCAGAAGAGCCTGTTGCTGGGGATAAGTTTAAAAAATTGTTAATTATGATATTCTAAAAATGAGCTTAATAGTGATATTCTAAAGTAAGTAGTTCATAAGGCCCTCCTAGAAAACCAGACCTCTTCTGATTGCATAAACAATTAGGCACACAATTGTTTCCTATTTTTGGATGCGTACCACTTCTCCTTTTTATTTTTTTCTTTAAAATGTAAATAATAATATTACAAAAATAAACAAATTATAGAGTGTATCTGAGATTGCTTGTTATTGCTATAATGGTATCTGAACTATTAATCAGTTTCTTCAATAATTGTTTTAATAGCTTTTTGTTATTATAATTTTGGTTACTTATTTATATTTGTTATTTTTAGCTCTAAGAGCCAGCCCACACAGACATACACTATGTGAGAAGAGCGGCTATATAAATTGAACAAATAAAATAAGAAAAGCAGAACTCTGCATTAAATGGCCCACTTGCTAAATTGCATTTTTATATAGCACACAGTCTATATAGCAACAGGTTCTTTTTGATCTTAACAATAGAGCAACAGACCATTTCTTTTTGTTTACCTCTCTCCTTTAGGTGACTGCATTTTGTGATGTGGATAAAAATAAAATCACTAAAGCATTTTACATTTATGAAGAATCTAAGGTTGGTAATATTCTTGGTTTAGCTATTATTATTTGTGAATTGGTTTTTTAGCATTATGTGACTACAGTGCACACAAAGCTGCAAAACTTTTAATAAATTGAAATTGAGGTTGTATTAGGAATTACATACTCTTTATGGAAAACATATTTCATTCAGAAACACAACTGTTGTATAAATTGAAATTAAATATGCAAAATGCTGTGTGGAATCCCTTTATGTATTTATAATGTATTTGTATAATCGGGACCTAAATCAGGAAATAGAGAAATTCAGAATAAAATAGAAGCTTGTTTTTGATTGAATAGTAATTCTCATCCCTAAGAACTCCAGAAGTGAGGTAGATTCAGAAAATTTCCAGATGTCTACACTCCATTTTATAAAACATGTTTATTTTTAATGTCTTATATTTTATGAATGGTTCATATTTATAATATAACATTAGTTTGAAGTTAACAATTGGCTTAATGCAATTTACTGCATGGGTTCACAAAAAAACCTGTGATTTTGGTATAGCATCATTTAATTGACCATAGAAGGGTTTTGGCCACTAGCTGGCACTCTTTATTCTCCTTATAATCTACTATCATCTTAAACATAGGTAAATAAAGCAGAAAAGAAAGGAGTCTTCAGAACAAATGAAAAATAAAACTTAAGTTTCCAAATAAAACATCACCTACTATTTCTCTTCTCCCCCCCCCCCCCCAAAAAAGTTTCTGTGTGATGGAATAAAACAGTGTACAATAGAATAGAATGGAATTAGGTATTGTAAATTCGATATTCTTCTACAGTGCTAAAAAAAATAATCAATTAAAAAGTGCTGCTCGTGAGACTAAAGTCTGAACTCTGCTTCAGGAGGACTCTAGGACTTTATGATCTTATTCAGAGGCCAAAGCAACATTAAAGGCAATTCGGTTGTCATTGAATTTGAGAAATAATGTAGAGTGGAAAGAAAGGAAGAGGTATTGTGAAGGAAGGCAGTTAGGAGACAATCTCACAGGAAGAGAAGGATCTTTTTCTTTCCATTGTCTTTTCTAGAGACAAAACAGGGAAAAGGATTACCTTCTGAGTCCAGATCATGCATTGATCAAGTTCAGTATTTTTGCAAGTACACATCCCACAATGGAATGTCCAAAACTAGGTATTTTGCAACAGGATAATGATACATAAGCCATGAGGGGGGAAAAGGAGATTTGGTTAACCACATGCTAACAAGGAAGCAGTATAAAGGAAAACTGGCAACCACAGAACCTTTCAGAAACTAGGCTTTTCATTGTAATAAGCTCAAAGGGACAGCTGTAGTGTATCAAAACTGACCAAGAAATGTACTGATCTCTGTTCAGGAAACTTCCAAACCCAGAATTCCAATTCTTCATTTCAAAGAAGCTTCCCCACCTTTAATTATTTGTGTGAAATTGGTGAGTATAATTTTGAGTCCAGTATGTGAAATCCACAATTTTTGCCATTTGCACTAAAGTATATTTTAAATGACTATTGATATCATGCCTTTTCTCAGTCAAGATTAGAACAAGTTTTTGAAGAAAGGAATAAAATCTGGGCTTATTTCGAGATGACCTCACTTACACAGCTCTTCTTGGTGATTTGATCCACCCTCAGCCTTAGGTTAGAATCGTTGTGCTCGTGGAAGTCAAAATACACAGTTTTAATGTTTATAATTGTGTGATTATTTATATAAAACTGCATCTATTGTTGCATATTAAGAATTCTGAATCATTCATTATATATTTTTAAGGTATTTTCAAGGTATCTGGTCTCACTTTAACCAAGTTTGTTTCCAGATTTACTTTCCTTCCTTCCTAGCTCTTGCTCTTTACTTTATTAAAAGTAAACCCAGAACATCAAGCTTATTTTAATAAATTTGTTATCTTGTAAAGAGATGTGTCAAATTTCTACATATATTAAAGATGCTACAAAAGAAGACATCCAAGTCAGAATAAGCATGAACTAAGTGTGATGTAACCTGTGTGGTTTCTTTTTGTTGAATCAAAATTGGATATGATTATGCAGTCTCTTTGCTCAAGCATGTGGTATCTTAATTTTCTCTTCAGTTGTTTATTTAACTAGAAATACTTCTGTTACTTCATTGGGTGTATGTCAGAGTCATTACTCTTTTTTGCTTTACCTAAGCTATTCTTCTGTTTAGAACTGAAAGATAGGGTTTGTTTCATTAACAGGCAAAATCAGTACAAAGTCTGGCCAGCCAAGGAATGCGCCTCAGCACTAAACAATCAGAGTCATTGGTTGAGATGGATGGCCACAGAAATAAATAAATGGAGAGTTGACTGTATCTGTATCTGTAACTGATGAATATATTTTTCAACTGATGTTGGCAAGCATAATTTTATCAACTCTGGAAATGGAGAGAGAACAGATAGTATCAAAATGACTTTTCCAATGAGATCTTCCAGAGAAAGAGAAAGAAAGATTAGATAGATAGATGGATGGACGGACAGATAAAACATAAAAAGAAAGATAAATGAATGCAGGCTAATATATAATGAGGAATGCAAACAGAAAAAGAAATGAAAGAGAAATCTATATGTGCAAGAAAATAAAAAAGTAAAAGAAAAATAGGAAAGAATAAAAAAGATACAAAGAAGTGGCTCCTGATATTATTCACAGCAGTTATAAGTAAAATTATATTTTCTGTAATCTATTCATTCTAATCATCAAAGCCATAAATCACAAGCTCATTTTTTTTATTCAAAAGGTGCATAAGGGGTTTCTGGTCACCAATAAATGTAGATATTGTCTTTTTGCAATGGAAATGTTTATTCATCTGAGCAAGATCTATTAATTTATTCAATCTCTTTAATATCATAACATAATGTAAATTTCAACCCTTTTAACCACATATTTTTCTATAGATCCATCTCTATATTATAACTAAAATTCTTAGCCTCTGTTATAATAGTCTTTTAACCTATTCTTCCAACTTTCCAAATGTTAGCAAACGTTTATTCATTTTAATAATTATATGCAGTGCTTTTTTTGTAAAAAAAAAAAAAAAAAAAGGTGTCGGAACTCAAGCATAGCTCCAGCTCCAGTCAAAAGCCCTTTACGAAGCCGGGGTGGGGGAGAAGAAACCACTTTAGGGAGCTTCCGAGGTGGAGATCACTCACCTGGAAAAGGTCTGTCTCCTATCTGCCGCAATTCCTGCTGCCGCTCCGATCTGAGGCCAGGGGACGCGTCCACAGCCCCCCGTGGCCTGATCCAGGCTCCAGAGGCCTGGAAAAGACCTCTGCCGCCTGGATCTATGGCCATGGAGTGATTTTGCAGGCCCCCAGCAGCCTGATCCAGGCTCCAGAGGCCTGGAGAAGACCTCCGGAGCCCAGATCTATGGCCATGGAGCGATTTTGCAGCCCCCTGTGGCCCAATTCCCTGTGGCTTGGAAAAGGCTTCCGGAGCCTGGATCAAGCCACAGGGGGGCTGCAAAATCGCTCTGCAGCCATGGATCCAGGCTTTGCAGGCTTGGAAAAGGCCTCCAGACTCAGATTGAACTGCAGGGAGGGATGCAAAATCGCTCCGTGGCCATAATGTTTGATATGATGATATACAAACGAAGGATACCTCCCAAATTCCAAAGGAGCCTTTTGAATATTTGTTTCTTCAAAGGGCACAAAAGAAGGAGATGAAAAATAAATCTACTGTGCTATGGTATATATAATGTCCTTCAAATATATGCATCCCATTTGTCTTGTAGTCTATGCTAAGCATATTAAGGAATTGAAGGAAGATGAACTGTATTAAACCCAACAGATGAATAACAGTAATTAGGCTGCAGAAAAGTGGGTGAAGAAGGAAATACTTTGTCGGCAGTATTATAAAGTGAGAAATAAGATGATGTTCAAAACAAATGATGTTGCTATTGTACATCATGTTATAGTACACCATTCTAAACAAGAATTGCAGAACAGTTGCATAACCTTGAACAGTACATGTGAGTTCTGATTTTGCTCTACTTTAATGTCCTGTCTCAGAAGCACAATTCAAGAAACATATCAATAATTGGAGAAATTCAAAACTTGATGAAAAATAGCATAAGACAATTTAGAATGCTTGTATTTTCCTTAGCCATAAAAAGTCCTCTGACTATTGGGGAATCCATGCCTTTATATTAGCCTTCCTATATTTTAGCATCAATATTTGTTCTCTATCTAGTTATTATATTAATGAATGCCAAAAATAAGACATTCTCAGTGATAGCTCTGCATTTATGAAATTGCTTTCTTCTCTTCAGATTCCTGTGGTTTCATCATTAATAATAGTTTTAAAATAATCTTTCATTTATATGGTATCGCCTTAATGGTCATTTTAGGTTTGCATTTATTTATTTATTGCTACATCTTATAAGGAATTTTAGTATATGATTTAAGAAAGTTTTCTAATAAAAGCAAAATAAGTTTAGAACTAGCAAATGAAAGGAATCAATAACAAACTTCTAATAATTAAAAATAAATAAGAAATTAATTTCCATGTATTTAAAACTGACAGCGGAGGCAAGGAAAGAATTGCTCACTGAATTCCTTGAGGTTCAGGTGAGAACATGTCAATTTAAATTATAGGAAGGCAGGTTTAATGTTCAATGAAATGTAAGAGAAAAAGTAATATGGGATATTGTGCAATCTCCTTTTTTTCTTCAGTGATCAAAAAGTGAATGGCTAAACAGGTACCGGTACTAGTGAAGGTTCCTTTCCAAATTGTAGCAGGACTTGAAGTGGTGCACCCCTCCTGGTACAATTAGATTTTTAAATAACATTTGATACCATCAAACTTTTGGAAAACCTCAGAGGATTGGAAACGGAGGGTGCTGTTGTAATCATTCTTTAATCAGACATGTTGACTCTTTGGACCCTTCAGGGCTTGATCTTTTTCTCATTCCCCATTTCAGTGTGCCATTTATCATCTGTAAAGTGAATTATTTTGTCCAAAACTGTAAAATCTAAGATATTGTAACTACTACTAACGTTAAGACTTCATTCCCACAACACATTTAAGCTCGTCAATCATTCTACAATATGATCATGTTAATTGAGTCAAAAGTCACTATTTTAGGAACAGAGTCCTTGATTACTTTCTCTAGGAACTGCCTGGTGTCCCAGGTATCTTTGCACAAGGGCAAGTCATCATTATGTCACCAGCCCCTCCTCCTCTGCCAATTACATAGACAGCAGTAAAAGTGGAAGGAGGTGGAAAATAAGTGAAGGCATGAAAGTTGTGTTGTTCTAAGTCCCAGTTCTTTGAAGGGTGCTCACCTGTCATTCGTTTTGGCCACTTGTTGATACTAGTGAGCACCTTCAAGCAATCCCCTCCCTTTCCCACTAGCCATTTTGCCAGTCCCATAACATCAGGAGAAAACAAGCTACCAGTGGAAATAATGCTACGTCCCCAAATAATCCCCAAGAAGAAAAAGGTAAAATCTTTGCAGGGAAAAGAAAGCATTTAATGAGGGAGAAAATAAAGGTAAAGGACAGAGCAATCTACAACCTGATGCAAGGCTATGCCCAACACAAAGGTAACTAAGAAGGAAAGATCAATTAATAGTTACTTTCCATTTCATTTCATGGAGTGTCTGCAAGAAATCTGTTACTCTCATAGCTACTGAAGCATCCTCTCAAATGTACTCTTATAACAGCTCTCCTGAGACTATGTACCTTCATTTGCAAATCCCAAGAGCAAGTTCAATTTTAATTTAACTTGTTTTATTGAGGCTGTTAAATATAGTTTTGTGGGTGTGTGAGCTTCTGTTTACGTTTATGCTAAGCATATGCAGTCTCTCATTGCGATAGAACAATCACCCTTATGAAAATGCAGGCTCACAGTGACAGTCTGAAGGAGACAATACCATCTTGGATGACCTAAAGTCAAGCCAGATTGCAAGAACAGCTCACTAAATTGTAAAATCTAAAATTGGAGTGAGGCTTCAATTAGAGCATAAAACTGCCTTGTGCTTTGGCTACTTTGCAAAATCCATCACCCCTTTCAGGAATCATTGACCTATCCTAGGAGATGTGCCCGGAAGCAGGAGATGGGCTTTCTTTAGCTAATACCATTGGAAGGCTTGGCTATTTGCTTTGGAAACACTTTAAACCTTTGGGCAGACCAGTCCCCAACTGTGCAGCACACCTTCCATCCTGCAAGTTAGCTTGTTTTGGCATTCTCTTAAAAGTTCCACTGCTAAGACAAAATAACTGCTCAATGTGTTCCTTACGGGGTATTTCAATAAAAACATACAGCACATGCGGAAAAAGGTATCAGCTAGCCAAGCAAAGAATGTTGCTGTCCACATTTCATTGTTTAGGTTTCTGCAAAGCCTTGAGAAGAAAAGAAATCATTTGCAGTTGACAGTTCTTAATCTGATGTAAACTCGGCCCAACCACTGAGTTTTAATATCCTT